AGCCTGATAAGGTCCTGTAAAGTAGTATCAAGAGCACTAAAGATTAGAATGAACTCACTAGAGTGAGGAGAGCTAACAATAATAAACAGAGGTTTATTTAGTTATCTTGGGGAGACAAAGAGGATCAAAGAAAGAGTAGGAGTGCAGCTTGAAATGAATGAGACAATAGTTGAGAACAGAAAGAAAGAAGAGCTGCTTTACTTCATATTTGGCTTCTGTTTGCTGTACCGAGAAGAAGATCTTTTCCCTGATCTAATACTGAGGCAAATGTTGCCAGGACTTATAGAGATTCCCAGAACTTACCCCTCCCTGTTCTGTATCCAACCATGCAGTTGTGTACCTGCTTTATATTTCTGTAATTGCCCAAGTTCTCAATAAAGAAAGGAAGCTCTTCAATACTTACATTCATTGGCTAATTACCCCCACTCCATCTATGTTGAGGAAAGTTGCTAGTTGGAGTAGCTAATTATAGAAATAGTGATTGGTTTGAAGTCTAGGGTTCTCCTCAGCAAGGAAGAAAGTAAGAAAAAACAGTATCCAAAGAAAAACATTAATCAGGTGTGGAATAGAATATTTATTCAAACAGAAAGGAGAAGAGGGAGGAATATACAAACTATACACTAGTGAGTTTTGTTTTGACCATTTGGAAAATTCTAGAATGGATCATCAAAGAAATTGTTATTGAGAATCTAGAAGGAGTATCTAGTAGGTATTATAAGAGTCCAGCATAGTTTAATTAAGAATAGGTGATATCCTAATACATTGTTAGTGGAGCTGTATATTGGCACAACCATTTTAGAAAACAATTTAGAATTTTCAAATAAAGCAACTACCTTTTGAACCAGAGATTCCATTAGTGAACTTACACCCTAAGGAAACCATTGATAAGATGGTCCTCACATACACAAAAACTTTTGTAGCAGTGCTTTTTGTGATGTCAGAGAATTAGAAACAAAGTAAATATTCATTGATTAGGAAATAACTAAACAAATACTGGCACATGAATATAATGGCATATTAAACTATTAAACTATGCATATTTTGATAATGCAATAATACTATTAGGTTTATACTCCAAATAGACCAAACAAAAAGGAAAAATATCCATATCTATAAAGTATTTGTAGAAGTTCCTTTTGTGGTAGTAGAGAATTGGAAGCTGAGGGGATGCCCATCAATTAGGAAATGACTGAACAAGTTATAATATATTACTGTGATGAAATACTATTGTGCTGTAAGAAATGATGAAAGGGATAGTTTCAAAAAAACCTGAGAAAACTTATATGAATGGATGCAAAGTAAAGCGAGCAGAATTAGAACAATTTGCATGATAAGGGCAATATAAAGAAAAGCAACTGTGGCTTAGTTACTCTGACCAACACAATGGCCTCCCACAGTTTAAAAGACCCATGATGAAAAGTGCTGTCTACCTCCAGATGGAGAGCTGATGGACTCAGAGTACAGACTGAAGCATATTTTTTTTTCTTTCATCTTCATCTTTTTTTTCTAGGACCTGGCTAATGCAGAAATTTGTATGACTATACATATTTGTGAAGAGTTCTATATTTCTTGTCTTCTCAATGAGTGGGGGAGGGAGAAAATCTGAACTTAAAATAATATTGAGGGGGAAAAAGGTCTCTGTCAAGGGAGTATATTTGGTAATGAAGGAAAAGATTAATAAAAATAAAAAGTAGGCCATCCCAGTCTAACCTTATTTACTTTTTGGAAATAGACAAACACATATATGTGTGTATATACATATGTGTGTGTGTGTGTAAATATATGTATGCACAAATATATGTATGTGCTTTTTAACACATTGCTAAAATCTATGTAAAAATATATATAGTTTTACATATAGTCTTGTGTAAAGTTATAGACTAATGATATACAGTTAAATGGATTCAGAACTGGTTGAATGGCTGACCTCAAAGAGCAATTATTAGTGATTCACTGTGAATTTGGAAGGAAGTCTCCAGAGACATGGCCTAGGGATCTATTGGTTCTATGCTATTTAACATTTAAAAATAAACCAATGATTTAGCTAAAGGCATGGATGACATGCTCTTCTAGCTGTGAGAGGACACAAATATATAAGGGAAAAACTAACAAATTGGAGAATAGTCAGAATCCAAAATGATCTTTACAGGCTCTTAGAGCATTGGGCCAAATCTAAGAAGGAGAAATAAAAATAAGGATAAATGTAAAGCCTTGCACTTGGTAGAAAAAAAAATCAATTTCCCAAGTACAAAATATGGGAAGCATGGTTAGACAGCAGCTTATATGAAAAGGATTTGGGATTTTAGTGGGCATAAGCTCAGTATGAGTCAGTAGTACAATGTAGTTCCACCCAAAACTAAGAGAGGCTTGGTTTCTGGGAATAAGGAAGTTTTATTGCCTCTGCACATTCCATCTTTGTCAGACCACAGCTGGAATACTTGGTCCAGTTCTAGTCAGCACAGTTTATTCATAACCTGGAGGATAAAGGCTAGGATAATGAAAGGCATTTCATGCCATATTAGAATGAGTTGAAGGAATTAATGCAATTTATCTTGGAAACTATGGGCAGCCGTGGTATCTGTTTTCAGATACACAAATTCAGAGGCATCTTTGACTCCCGGTTGTCCTTTGTCTCTATGGTTGACGATAGCCAATCATTCACAAAGTTCTATTGACTCTTTCTCCCCAGGATCTGTCATATCTATGCTTTCCTTACCATTTCTAATGTCATTAATCTTGTTCAACCCCTTATTATTTGACAGAATCACAGATCTGGAAGGTCGGAAGCACCCTTAGCTTCCCATCCACCAGCTAATCCCATCCATCCATGAAGGAATCTCCACTATGACATGGCCAACAAGTGGTTGGCTCCTTCAATCAGTTCCTCATATGACTTGGATTCAGGGACTTTCACTCTCCTGGTTGCCCTCCTCTTGACAACCTCCAGCTTTTCAATGCCCTTATTAAATTGTAGTTGCCAGAATTTAACACAATACTCTAGCTTAGATCTGATAAAGAAGAGTAATGTGGGACTATTATCTCTCTTTTCCTGAAGATATGTCTGTTATCTTGACTGGAAGCAGCTGGATAGCACAGTGAATAACGCACTGTGACTTCAGTCAGGAAAACCTGAGTTCAAATCTAGCCTCAGACGCTCACTAGCTGTGTGACCCTGGGCAAATCTCTTAACCTCAGTTTCCTCATGGGCATAATAATAGCACCTGCCTCCCAGGGCTGTTACAAGGATGAAATGACATATTTGTAAAACACTTAGCACAGTGCTTGGTCCATAGGAGGTACATAAGAAATGTTTATTTACTTGCTTTCTATTATGATAGCCAACAAAACAGTTATCCAGCCTTCAGTCTCTTTCCCACTCAATTTATCATATATTCCACCAGAAGATTTATAAAGTACAGTTTTTATCTCATCACGTCATAGCTTATATACCAAGATCAAATTGGATCTATTCCAGGAATGCAGGGTTATTGTGATATAAAGTATAAATATCATAGATAAAATTAACAATAAAAACACATAATTATACCAAATAGATCCTGGAATGGCTTTTGCCAAAATCAATATCCATTTCTGTTTTAAAAAAATTAGAAAGACTTCTCCTTAGTATAGTAAATAGTATCTACCTAAAACTATGAGCAAACATCATATGGAGAAAGCTCTTTCCAATAAGATCATCAAGTTGCCCATTTTTCCACTACTTTTTGACATAGTACTAGAAATGTTAGCTGTTGCGGTATGTTGAGAAAAATAAATTAAGAGAATAAACACATACCTCACTCAAAGAACTTGTTAAGAGCTAAGAATTTTTTTTGAGGATTTGAAGACTATTATCTCAAATCTGTAAAGTACTATACTGCTGTGGTTAAACCACTGAATGATTTCACTCATAATTGAAGATACCAGAAGCAGAAAGGCAAGACAGGCCAAATTCCTTTAAACTGTATGATTCCCTTTGGAGATAATTAGAAAGACTTTCAAATGTGAACAAAAGTTTTCAAGGCTTAGACAATTTCCTCACATTTGCACCAGTGCCGTCCTTTGCAGATTCCAGCAAGCTTTTTGTCCTGTATAAGTATACTAGCCTTAAGAGTCTGGGAGCAGCATCATTCCAAGAGAATGATGGTCACCAGAAACTGATTGGAGAAGACTTAGTGACAATGGCACTTGCTGTCCCAGGCACAAATTAGACTTCTTGGCTTTGAAATAGGCTGTCATTGAAAAGTTCAGAGACTATATGTATGGAGCTAAATTTCAGATGAGACTGACAACAACTTACTGATATATCTTGAACAGTAACAAGTTATATATTGTTTGCTAAGATGGGTAGCATCACTAGTTGCCTATGAATTCAACATATACCGACATCTAGAGAAAACTAATGTGAATGTAGATGCTCTGTCCTAACAGTATTGTAACCAAAGCTACAGTGATACCTAAGGAAGAAATAAAAGCTATGTGTGATATGCAGGCAGTTTGCTGTTGTTGTTGTTTGTCCTTCACTCTCAAGGAGGACCAATGACATCAGGAGGGTGATGTCTTCTCTTGCAAGTGAATTGGATATAAGTGAGGCTGAACTGTGCACAGGCATCAGCCCCACTTTCTCCTCCAGAGTCATCAGACTCCGGTGACAACAATAGGTCAGGACAACTGGCAATGGCCCAGCATCCAGACAGTTGGGCTACAATCCAGTGACAGCATAGCTGGGAATTTGCACCCTCCAACAAACAGCAGTTTATGTGAACTTTGTTTCGTTATACCTTTGCCTCAATTACCTGTGAATGAGCAATCACAAGAGTAGACGTCTAATAAAAAGACTATGAAACACAAGATAAGAAACCAGGTAACATGGATATATGACTCATGTTTCATTCACAATCATTTGAAAAAGTATTCAAAGTCACTAATAATCAGTGAAATACAAATTGAAATAATTCTGAGCAATAACTTCACACTCACAATATTAGCAAAGATGGTAAAAATAAAATTCAATGTTGAAGGGCTTGTGGGGTGATAAGAATCCTAATTCACTTCTGGTAGAACTGCGAATTGATGCAACTGTTCTGGAAACAATTTATAATCATGTAAGAAATGTTACTTAATTATAACTTTAAAATGAACTGTTCTAATGCGTCCTCCATGCCCTGCTTAAGCTGTGATCTTATAGTTAATATCAAATATCACTTAGATATATTCCCAGCTCAACTGTCCTTTGTAATGTCACAGTTAACAGTTGACATCTAACTTTGAATGAGGGTGCAGCAGAATCCTTTCCACTTAGCTTGCCATATAAGAATGTTTTCCAAATGAGTCATGGGATTGGGGTGGGGAGGGGTAACTTTCCATTGTTAAATAGAGTGGAATTCTCTTGATTCAATATGTTCTCTGAGGAATCCAGTGGACTACATTGAGAGACATGGCTTCCTGTTTATACGAAGGGGTCAGAATCCCCTCATTTCAAACTCTTGCCTTCCAATGAGAAATAAGAAGAATTGGAGAGAAAAGTACCTTTGGTCCTTAAAAAAGGACACATGAATAGAAACAGATGGTCTACCCACTTTGACTGGAAATTGTAGGCATGGCCTTACGCAGGTTTTTTGGAGTGCTTGCTCTTGACCCTCTAACTCCCCCCCACCTTTTTTCATTTCCAGTTATCCATGAGTTAGGAACAATCTGAATTATCTCTCTATCATGAGTTTACCTCTACCTAAGAATTCATTCATTCATTCAAGAAGTAGTTATTGAAAACCTTGTGAAAGGTGCTGTGCCAGGTGTTGGGAATACAACCACAAACCAAAAAAATAATAATAAAAAAATGGGAAAATGTGAAATACAGCAAAGTGAAAAAGGAAGCAAAAGAATAATATACATTAATAAGCATGATATTGTAAATAAAAATAACAAAGAGCTACAAAAAGAGACAATGTTGGCACTACTTTTTTTAAAAAGAGAAGAAATTATGCAGGCAGTAATTGTGTTTATTAGCTGTTCTGTTTTCACCCACAGCTCAGAGTCCACATGACTTACTAATCATGAAAAAGCAGGTAATCTCAGCATAGCTCACTTTAAAAACAATCTTAAAAAGAATTGTAATTGATTTACTTCAGAGCGAATTTGATATTGTTTACAAATTCTGATGTGGTTTTTTTTTTAAGGAAATCTTTTTTTTCCTCCCAGGCAATTGGGATTAAGTAACTTGGCCAGGGTCACACAGCTAGTAAGTGTCGAATGTTTGGTCTGAGGTCAAATTTGAACTCAGGTCCTCCTGACTTCAGGGATAGTACTCTATGCACTGCACCACCTAGCTGCCCCTTAAGGAAATCTTTTAAGGAGGAGATGAATTCTATCAAAAGGATAAGCCAACTACCTTAGCTGATTTGAAGATCTGAATCTTGAATTTCTCCTTGTTCTGTTCAGATTGAGGAAAGTAAAATCTGTATAACAGTCCCACAAATCTGCCAGAAATCTTTCCTACCTTTTGGGAAAGTATAATAGAAATCATAGGTTACTACAGGGGTGGAGAACCTGTGGCCTCATGGCCACATGTGGCCCTCTAGGTCCTCAAGTGTGGCCCTTTGACTGAATCCAAACTTCATTTGAAGACTTGAGGACCTAGAGGGCCACATGTTGCCTCAAGGCTGCAGATTCCCCACCCCTGGGTTACTGTTTCATGTCTTAAATATTTGTCGATGCATGCTTATGAGTATTTTGTGCTCTGAGCATTTCTTTTGTAGTGGAGGCAATAAATAGCTGTCCTATACCTGATAACTACTACTTTGTGTAGTAAATACATTTCTAGAAGGGACCCTATTAATTATTTTTTGAAAGATTCTAGACATGAGCCAAATCTAAGTATTGTTTAAAGATACTTTTCTGGAATAAGTTCAGGTGAGGGAGGCATAATGAGACAGAGAACATGAGAAAGACCTGATTCATCTCTTTTAAAGATCAAGCACTCCCAGGACTGAACCCAGGTTTTGTGAGTCCAAAGCAAAAGTCCCTTGAGAGAGATGGGTGACTATGGGTCACAGGTCATATACATACATGCATGTATATGTATATGTGTATGTGTATATATATGTATGTATGTGCAATTTTATCAGTATGTGAATTATCTCCAGTTATACAGATTTTCATGTTTTCATGCTTTAGATGTTTTTAAGAATTGCTATGGTCAAAAAATTAATTAACTAATGATGTACTTGCTTATAATGAATTTAACTAGACTCTTTCTCAAACAAAAAACAAAAGCCTGTTATCAAACCAATATCTGAAGTCTTGTCATCTTGTGGGGACTTCTGCCTGGTACTAGAATAAATATGGAGAACCCAGGGTCAATCTTCATGCCACAAGGAAGCATTGGAATTTTAAAAATACATATTTTTAATGCTAGAAAATTCTATTCTTTTGTCTTTGTAAAGTCTTCTTTGGTAGCTCTAACTTTCATATGATTTCTTCCTTTAATTATTTTATTGATAACCTAAACTGTACTGGAAGCCTTCAATTGTTGTATTATAATTTCTGTTGCCCTCTTGCCATAGCAGTATTTTCCCTGCATCTGGGATTGTCCCATCATTTTCTTTTAATTCATAGTGTTTATTTTCTGTATTGGAATTTTTTTTTATTGTTTACTCATTCATTTTAGCATCCCTGTTGCTTTTTCCTTTGAGTTATTCATGATGAATTTCTTTCCAAACCACTATTTGTTTGCTGTTCATTTACTTTATTTGCATATTTCTTGCTAATTTTTAGGTGGTAGTGACAGAATGTTGGGAGCCAGGTTTAGACATTAATTCAAACTTGACCATATTTCTACGAGTCTTTGTTTACCTAGATTTTAACAAAACATTTGACAAAGACTCTCAAGCAATCTCTGTGGACAAAATGGGAAGATGTGGATTGAACAGTTGGAAATTAAGAATTGCTTTAATGGCCAGATCTAATGGTTCGATGTCAACTAGGAAAAAGGTTTCTAGTGGAGTAGTACTTCTGGGATATGTGCGTAACTTTTTGCTGATGAACATATTTATCTATGACTTGTATAAAGGCATAGATGGCTTGTCTATCAAATATGCAAATAACACACAGCTAGGAAGGATAGCTAACAGTCATTGAATGAGAGTTAGGGTCCAAAATGCCTCAATTAGCTAGTACATTGGTCCAAATCTAACA